CCCGGCCTGCGGGGGCTGCCCCCGGAGCTCCTGCGGGCTGTGGGAGGGAGGGCCTTGTCAGCGGGCGGCAGCAGCGTGCTGGCACCGCCTCTGGCTCTTCGCTAAGTGTTTCTATTTCATTGCCGCGGTTAAAATCACCTGGCGTGAAATTTGATAATACGATGAAAAGTGCTATCAAGGCCGAAGATGCATTAGTCTTCGAAGACAGGACCAGTTAATTGTACTCTTTTGTATGGAACGCTTCCAATGAGCTGGCCAGGATTTATTTTCCCCCCTTCCTTTTTCCAGTTTATTGGTGATACCTGTAAAGATTGGAACATAGGTGGTTTGCCTAACATCAAGATATATATCTTAAATTGGGAGGGAGGGAGGGAGGAAACAGTGTTCCTCCTTTTTTCCACTGAGTAAATCAGTGCTGCTGGTATACTGATAGTTTAAAGTAGCGTTCCTTTCTTATAGATCATGCTATTATTTTTCAAATGATATTTCACAAATATATATGTATTCATATATATATGAAATGATATTTCAAATGATATTTACTGTTTCCATTCTGCGACTCTACTCCCAGCTTCCCACAAGTGGTACGAGCTAGATGTTTTCTAAATCGCACATATTAAATTCAGATTTAAAAAAGTTCAGATATTTTAAATGTAGTTGAGTGTCTATAGCATCATAAGTCTGCCCTTAGACATGGGTGCAATGTAAGTAGTAAACACTCTGATCGCTGGACCCTTAAATGCACAATACGTGAACATCACAGTCATTTTCATAAGGATAGTGCGCAACTGGAATGTCTTGCAAGGAATAGAAATATTTTTTCTCTGGTTTTGAGATAGTATTTGACCTATCTCAGAAAGCATTAATTCAGTCCTTTGCTGGTTTGTGTTTTTCTCTCTGGTCTTGGCCCTGATCCTACAAAGCACTAAAAATGGACTTAATCTGAAACACAGATAGGCCTAGTGGATATACAGATTTAAATATGTGCATTCTTTGCAAAATTGTGGCCTTTGTTTATATCTGCAAATGCTTTGCTCCTGATGCATACTTTGGTTTAGTAAGGAAAAGAAGAATTTAACTAGAAAAGCTCAGTGCATCATTCACCCATTGCTCCTCACTCAAATTATGTTTCTCCAGATTTTGCTGCTGTCACTGGGCATAAAAGTTAAGATTGTTTTTAGTCCTTTGAGTTACAAAACCGAACTTTCTTGTATTTCCAAGCCTGCAGTGGAGGGAGAATTGATATTTAGAAAGTTGAAATGAATTGAAATGTCAGTTACATTTGTTACGAAACACAGAGTACTCATTGCAATTTGCCATTGTTTCCAGTATAGGGATGAGACTTTTGTTTCTTTTTGGTATGGAATAACTGGAATAACAAGCTCAAGTCTGCGGCTGTTAGAGCACCTGATGACAATGTGAACATTTGATCCAAATCTGCAACTTAAGAACAAACCTACATACCTAGCCTTATTCTTTCCTGTCACCCCTGTGCTACTGAGGCCAACATTGGCTTGCCCTTGCTGCTGGTTACTTTGTCTGGTGAGGATAAAACCTGATGATTTGACTTGTCTGGGTAGCAGTTGCACTTGATTAGGGTTTCTGCAGCCAAAATTTTGTCAGACTCAACTGTATTTTTTATATTGGTTTTGAAATACATGATATCACATAAAAGACTAAGTGTCTCTCCAGCATTTTTTTTTTCTGAAACTTTTAAAAACTAGTATAATTTACTACAGGAATAAAAAAAATCATAAAAAATCTCTGTGTTTTCATTTGGAAATTGGATAGCTTTAGACCTTGTTTAGATTCAGTTATTTTTACGGTTTCTACGTTAGCATATGATGAAAAAAATCTTGGAAGATTTTCATATTCTGTAGGGTTTAATAATACTATAGAGATATAGGCAGTCAACTTCCATCAGTGTGCAAATGTACTTGACCTTAACACAATAGGAATGTATTCTTGTAAGTCTTAAGGGGAATTACTGTTTCTCCAAAAGGAATTAATCATGGCTGACGACTCTCAGAGAAACTTTCGCTCAGTGTATTATGAAAAAGTGGGGTTTCGTGGAGTTGAAGAAAAGAAGTCACTGGAAATTCTGTTAAAAGATGACCGGTTAGGCAAGTTGATTTCACTGTTTCCTCTACTACTTTGGTGATCTGGGGCTGGGGAGGGAATAATAGAAAATGTTTAGCTGCTGTGCTTAGTACTCATTTAAGTTTTGCGTCTTTTACCACTAGTCTGTCTGTTGTTACTAGCAGTCCTTTGAGTTTCAAAGATCTGAAAATCTGATTTTTAAAACTATTTAAGATTTGTCCTCTGTGCCCAAGACACTAAAAGTTTTTTTAATGAAAGCAATTTTAATCTGAAAATGTATCGTTTCATGCTGTTAATTCCATCTAACCTCAAAACAATGAAGATTTTGTTATTGCTGTTGGTCCCTGAAGAGTGCCACATCTCTAACAGAACAGGAAGATAAATGTTGTCCCTTTAGCAAAGCCCTTAATTGTTTTGACGTAGGAACACGATTTACAAAATGTCTATAAAAATGGTATAGTTTCTTCCTGGTGAAACCTAGGGTATTTGCATTGTAAATTAAGACAACGTATATATTTTTCAAAACTGTTGTAGTTTATAGGGCACATTCTATTCTCAATTGAAGCTGTGAAAGCATTTGTTGATAATATGTGATGAAAGTGGGGATTTCAATCTGCAGCTAAGGGTTTGTCATACGTAAATCAGAGACTCAAACCCATTTATAATTTTATTTAAATTTACCTTAATTTTTTTCCTCTTTATTTCTCTACAGATATTGAGAAGCTTTGCACATTTAGTCAAAGGTTTCCTCTCCCATCCATGTATCGTATACTGGTGTGGAAAGTCCTTTTAGGTATGATATATAACATCTGTGTTCCTCTGTAGAAATGAGTATGTAGGAAGGTGTATTTTTTCTTTCTTTTTTTTTTTCCTTAGAGAGTTAATGACATGGATTATTCTGTACTACCTTGTCTACTGATACGTATTTAGCATATTTTTGTATCCACTTAGGATGCACAACAGCAATTATAAAACAATATTCCATGCATAGTTTTTGAGAAATTTTGCTGAAGTGTACCTAGAAGAGTGTATTTCTGTATTTAACTTTCAACAGTATCCAAGTAAATTTATAAAATGGATTTGAAAGGTGGATTGTAGTAAGTCACTGATACATGATAAGATATTCAGTACTGTTCCTAAAACAACAGACAATTAAGTTGAAGTAAAGCTATGATTAAACTTAAAAAAAACTGGGCAAGGTAAGGGATGTATGTTTACTGTAAAGAGAAGTTTGGTGTTCAATAAAATCTTGGTTGCTTCTTGTTTTGCTTCTGGTTTTAAATTGTATTTGCCATTGAAGTTATGAGGCCAGAGACAAATTATGGTACCCCAGAAACCATAAAAAAACCATAAATAGATTCTATTTTCCTTGAAGTGTGTTAGTCAGATGACTGATTCAGAAGTACTCATGACTTTGCAGTAACTGGTCAAGTGTGTTGGGTTTACTAGATGCGAGGTTGTGTCATTGGGAGACAGGAGGGGTTGTGGAAAGATATCTGGAGGGTTTCCCTTAGAGTTGCTGTGTGTAGAGAAGCACTGCCAGATTGAGTGTGAAGGTACATGGTCTGACTGAATCTTAGGAAGAGAAGTGTGATTTACCATAGTGTTGGTGGTGGAGCATTGTGCCACTTTTGAAAAGCATGAGTGTGGCTCCCGTGCTCAGTCTTGTATTACCAGGGCTGTGCTGGCAGGAAGGGTGCTGGTATCCGAAATGTTGTTTCATCAGGGAGAGACCAGCAGCATCAGTCTGCAGACTGGCTTGGAAGTTGCTGTCTTTTGCTGTCTGTGAACTATCATAATTCTTCTTTGTCCTTTGGCTCTCCAGAATGTGATACAGATCCCATATGTATCTCTTGTATGAAGATTTTGGCATGTGATTCAGAGTCAGGAAGATTGGTGACTCCTGCCTCTGAGTGTTTTACAAAACAGTTTTTCTCTGTTTTAGGATGTTTGTTTATCTTAGGCTGTGCCATGATCTTGAACAGTGTTCAAGTAAATGTCTTCTGTTTCCCTTCTTGGTCTCCATGTTCCACTACAGTGTCTGGAGTTTGAAATAATGTATTAGAAAGTTTTAGCTGAGTTTTAAACGATGGGGTTTTTTTTTTTCTTCTTTTTTTTTTTTCCCTCCAGTTTTCTACAGTTTAAAAATTGTGGCTTCATATTCCTGATTATTTGGATTTTTAAGCCTTTTTTTGGGAGAGGTAGTAAATGAACAGTGTGCAGAAGGTACGAGATGTAACTATAAAACTTGAAGTTCCTGGCATTGATCACTGAACTAATAGAGTAATGCTACTTGATAAAAGCCTCTGCCGTTAGAGTACTAATTTTAGCATGAAAAAGATTCTTGTACCCTGGGCCCTAGTGGAGTAGTCAGCATCTTTTAAAATACTAGTAGTAGGAAATACAATGTAGGAGGTTTGGACAAGTGACTCAGTACAAGATCCTTCAGCCAAAATTATAATAGGAAAATACAATCTCTTGGCAAACTTGTAGCTCACTGCAAAGCCAATGGTCTATCTTTGACTGTTTTAGATAGGATGATTTGTGAACCATATGATAACACAAAACACCTTCTGAGTTAACTGTATGGAAAACTGTATTGCCTTTTTAAAGGATTTTGTATTTTAAACCCAGAGTGATTTATTTCAAGTATGCATACTGTCATTCTGTATACTCCTTGGGTGAACAGGGCTAGAAGGACTTTTCTTATGCTGCATCTCAGTGTTAACACCTGTTAGAAAAGCTGGTATTCAGAAGGGCAATGCAAAATATCTCTCCCTAAATGATTGGAACAACAGCCCAGTCCATTTCTGGTGGGAGGTGTTACATCTCTGAATGATATTAATAGTTTAACAAAAAGGATTCTATCCTGTTAGCAAAATTGTCTCAGACACATACCAAGGCTCAATGCGGTCCCAGGTTACATGGTATGTCAGCGATGTCTCTATTAACTTCCTGTTCAGGTATGATTCATGATGGTTTCTAGACATCACTGTTTTGTTTAAGCTTCTTTTCTGTCTCCTAAGGTAGTCTTCTGTATTTGAGGAAAGCAGTTGGCAGTTTGTACATACAAAGTCATGATGGTTGACTCTGTTTTTGCATAACGTGAAAAATGCCTTCCTCTGTCCCAGCTTTTGAAATGCAGGCAGGTTTGCAGTTGGAAAATAAAAGATAATTTTCTGTCTGATATGCTTGTTACTAAAACTCAGCCATTTTGTGGTTTAACACTTGGCAGGAATATTTTTTTTTTCTTTAAATGAGAGAGAAGAGCAGCAGGTAGCCTGTTTCAGAACTGATTTTTGAAGAATACTTTGTTCTTGTGCTTTTCTACAATGGGAAGAATTCTGCTCCACTAGTGATATGGAAGTGGCATTTCTTTGCTTTGGTGTATGTAAGATCTTATGTCTGATGCAGCCTGTTATGGTTTTCTTGTGAACATCAGAGCATGGCAAGATTGAGTCTTGAGTGAGGGGAAGGATTGAGTGAAATGTTGAGCATCGCTTCTGGAGATTGTAAACAGTTTAATTTTCTCTGCCTCTCCACTAGGTACTTTTTTTTCTTTTTTTATTTTTCCTCCTAGGAAACTAGAAAAAATACTTGTGTTGTGCTAAGAAAGTAAAAAACCTTACCTTGCAAAGTGTTTGGGTGGTATTCTCAGGTTTTAATCTGTAACTGATTCAACCTATGTGATTGATTTTGCTTCTGAATGCTGTTTTAGAGAGGATTAATCTATGATACAGTGACTAAAGAATTTTCTGGCAGAGATCTAACAGTAAATTAAATAATACTGGAATGTACAATATCTTTGCATTAGTTGATTGCATGTATATATTTGTTCATCTCAAAGTGTAGAATTTGAGAACATGAACAGCTAATGTATATAAAAATCATGCTGCATCCACTTTGTTTTCAAAATAAATGGAAGCTGGGCACAAATACGCAGCTAGTACTGTATTATAAACTACAGGTAGGTATAAACAAGCAAGATTCACAATTCAAAAATAAAGAAAGGTTGTTGGAGAGGGAGAATAAACCAATTACATTCTTTTTTGTCTATCCCAACAACGGCATTTCTTATCAGCACACTGATGGGGTATACAAAAGAGTTAGTATTCATTTGCTGAAAACCTTGTAGAAGAGCTTGAGAAACAATGGTCTAAGGGTAGACTTTGCCTATGCTCAGGTAGCATATGAAATTTGTTTTTAGAAGTATAAAGTTAAAGTGTTTTGTTGGTCCATTGACTTCCGATTTTGTAAAATTTTCTCCGTGTATTCTTTGACCAAGTTTATAAACAAGCTGCAGTGCCAGGTCCTACATTTCTGTAGGCTGCAGTTGTAGTAGAAATTGAATTTAGACAGATCTCTTGGAAAGGGAGTTTGAGTGCTCTGTTTTTTCTCTTTACAGTTGCTTATATTTTTTTTCTTTTTTTTTTTTTAATTTGTTTTTAGGAATTATTCCTCCTCACCATGAATCTCATGCTTTGGTGATGAAGTACCGGAAGGAGCAGTACTGGGATATACACCATGCTCTTCGTGTAATTCGTTTTATTAATGATTCTACCCCACAGGTAGATGTTTTCCTCCGCATACATCAACTGGAATCAGGAAAATTGCCTCGAAACTTGGCTTTTCCATTGGTCAGTTGTCATTTTAACAGTCTTTTAAATACAGTATTTTATTTAACTTCAAACTATAAGCCTGTGAGAAACTGAACTGCAAGTAGCCCCACAAATGCACGTAGATAGGCAAAGTAAGGCGAATGGAAAACAGAGAAGTACTAGTATAAAATCAGGGGTTTTAGTCAAAGTACTTTTCTCTTTTTCTTTCCCTAAGTACTTATGTAAGATTTTATGCCTTAAAATATCTTCTGTGTATTTTGCCTGCTAGGCTTCAAGCCTTTTGTACTCTATCTAGTATGCTTCAGTTTCTTTACAGCACTGAAATGAAAATGACATAATCTTATCAGAGCTCGTAGATTCTTAAATGCCTGGAACAAGGATAATTCAGAGCCAGTACAAGCAGTGATTTATTGCAAATTACATCATATGTTTAAATTATTTGTTTTTAAGTCTAGACTTTAATGTACTGACCTCCTTTTTCTGTTAGTCTGAACCAGTCCAGACTTCTGTCAGGCAATACATGTACTCTGTAGTTTACAGTGTACTCACATACGGGTAAACAGGTCTGTGTTTTAATGATAAATCTATAGTGTGATGATAAAAACAATGTGTGAATCTTACATATGAGTCTCTATGAAAGAGGAGATGATGGAAGGAGCCATGGGACTTTCTGAAGTGAATTTTATCCTGTATTTAATGTTAATTTATCCATGTTCACTCTAGCCCAGCTTTCTATGTTAGTTTTCATCTGTAATAACAAAATTTGACATAAGAACTAAAGAACAGTTAAAAACTAAAAAAAAAGTTAAACAAAGTTAACATGGAAAATACAGTAATATTTTGGACTGGAGGATTATATACAACATTCCCTTGTTGGAGAAGGGAGAGTGTTTTTGTGCCCTTACCGTTGCCTAGGAACGTGGCCATCCTACTCCCCAAGTTTTGTATAGAGAAATTTCCTTGATTTTGGCATGTGACCCAGTGGGTTGAAAATTCATCCCTTCTAGAGCAGCATTGCTTTCTGAGCAAGTGTTTTGTCAGTGCATCCCAGAGCACTAGCTGCTCTCAGTGCTGTGATGGGGTTTCACAGAGATGGTGTTTAGCAGATCCCCAGTTGTTAGTCCTGTAACTTATGCTTGTTTTGCTGCAGAAAGCATTTGTTGTCTTCATGCCAGCCTGTTTTTAGTGCAGTAACTGTCTTCTTAAACCTACAAGAGGTTACTGCTTGATAGTAATGGTGATGTTTTATTGTGGAGGCAGCGGGAGTATAAAAATGTTGGATTGGTCTAAATATTTTGAAATGTTTTGAGTCACAAATCACAGAAGTCTGCTAAATATGTTTTGTGCACCTGAAAGTAGAGAGTTTAAGTAGTGTATGTATTGCAGCAGTCTATGTAGCAGAGGCATATCCCAGTACTATTTAGACTATCCACGCATTTTGCGTGAGTGGTAGTCTGTGCAAAAGCCTGTGCTACTATAGCTTACTGTTATTGATGGTTACAGTAGATCAGACTGTGGATACGTATCTGGCTTGTTACCCTGCCTCCTAACGTAGCCAGTACTGCCTGCGTAAGGAGGGCTGTAAGAAACAGGGCAAATACAGAGCCTTTCTTTGTGCATCTTCCCAGTTTAGGTACTTCCTGAGCTAGCTGTTGGCATGAGGTCTAGCTGGTTTAGAGTTAGTTCGCCTCCATCTACCCTATGTGCAGTCATACCATTAACTCTGGTTTGGACATGCTGACACTCCTCTTAGGAAAATATATCCTCAGGAGAAAAGATGATGGTGTGCCCATCACATGCTTCTGGTCATGTATTGTGAGGAATAAGATACTTGTCACCTGAAAAAGATACCTATTTGTCATCTAGGAAGAAGTTTATCTCAAAGCAAATGATTTTCTATATGTTGAAAGTAGACATGCAACTTATGGCTGCATTATTTTTTTCAGTAACTGTAACATCCATGACGAAGGTGTTTGAGGGGTCTGTTTGGCCCTTAGCAAGGAATAGGATAAAAAATTCTGCTGCTATGCAGTATAAAAATGTGCGGCATAGAAGTAGGATTATCGCTACCTTGTTAGAAAGTAGTATCTCAGTTGACAACATTTGAGAACTTTGAATCAGAGTTGTTCCAAACTCCTGTTGTATGTTTTGGTTTTAAAAGCAAGACGAGTCTTATTCTGCTTTAGTAGGTATCTGTCACCATAATGCAGCTGCTGCCTGATGTTTTATTTATGAATGTCAGAACAGCTCTTTGTGTATGTAGATTCCAGTTTGTTTTCCCAAATAGCAGGGAAAAGGAACATAAGAATAATTTAAATCAGATAGTCCAATACTTATTTGTAGTTCATTTTTTTGGCTTTGTTTTCCAGGAACCTGAGGATGAAGTGTTTCTTGCTATTGCTAAAGCGATGGAGGAAATGGTGGAGGATCCTATAGAATGTTATTGGCTTGTCAGTTGCTTTGTGAATCAGCTAAACAGCAAGCACAAAGATTCATTACAACAACTGGTAGGGAAAAAACACACTTTTTTTTTGTTTTTGGTGAGGAGAGCCAATCATGGAAAGCATTAATATATGGAGACAAATGGACCATCAGAAGATGGAGGATCAGAGCCCTTGGATTCTGTTCCAACAACTGTTTTGAGAGAATGCAAGGAGTGCTTTTTGCTTTGCGATTGTGCTCTCCTGTAGGACACTTTGTTAACATAACATTAGAAATTGTTTTTGTTTGCTACATGGTAGTTTTCCATTACATCTTGTGTTCTTTTTAGGTCAGCTAAAGCTTACATTGTATCTAGTTGCTGGAGGTGATACATTCAACTATACCAATTTCTGTAGTTCCTTTCAAAGGACAAGAGGAGCATTTTTAAAGAAAGTATGTGCTCTCACTACATAGAAGGCGCCAAGTGTCTCCCTTCCCTAAGTTTCTGTTTTAATACGAACATTGTACCAAGACTCTGGATGTTAGAATATGGACAAAGGAAGTGTTTTCTCCTTTTGACAGCTGAAGTCATTAGCTGTTTACCTAATTATGACAAAAAGCATAAAGGTACTCCTGAATTTATGAAAATGTGTATTGTGTTACATTAGAATTTAAACAAAATGAGAATTATCCACTTTTTTATGTGGGTAATTATCCATGTGTTTATGCTTCTAAATACTTTGGATTTTGACACAAGAAATCAATGTCCAGCTTTTAATGTGTTGCACAGGGATTTACTCTCAAAATTGATTTTCTGGGTTTTGCTGCATTGTGTGTAGATTTTGGTTTTTTTTTTTTCTGACATGTGCTAAGGTAATTAGGTTTGAGGTGAATGAAACTCAATTTTACTTGTGAAGGTAGCAGTTATTAGTGCACGTTTAATCTCTGCATTGCCTTAAGCTCTCAAACACCTCCTTGCATTAGGGACTGCTGCATATTTTGGAAGTTCTGCTAGTGGTCAGCAATTTAAGGAACCTGAAGCTGTTTGTTTAATTAAGTACTTAATTAGCTAATTGCAAAAATCAGCAACACTTGTGTTTTGGAACATGATGTTTTTAGTTAAAACAGTGCAAGTTCATTATTTTAACATGTTATTTCATGCCAATTGAATTTTTAAGGCATTTCTTGTCTTACAGTATGCATTAACTGTGGAGGGTACTCTGATGTGAGCTATCTAAAATTTTGCAATTCCTTTCTCAGCCGAAAATTCTGGAGCAGTATTTGAACATTGAAGATAGCAGACTCCTGATGCACCTAAAAGCATGTGCTGCAATGAGCAAACTCCCTTATGATCTTTGGTTTAAAAAGTGTTTTGCAGGCTGTTTACCTGAGTCCAGTTTACAGAGGCAAGTTCTCTTTTTTCCTTTCTGTTTGTAATTGCATAGTAATTTTAGCTTTTTGTCATCACTAGCAGGCAAAGGGCTTTCCTTACTTTATCTGTAAGATTATGGTACTAACTTTATTGTTGACTTGGAAATGATAAAATTGGTTTTGATTCCACTTGTTACTGATGCAAGATAATCCCTGTGTGATCATTTCTGGCATTGAAATTAAAAAAGAATGGAGTTAAATATAGCGGCTGATTCTGTTAGACACAATGCCTCCTAGGACATAAAACTCCATATCCCCTCTTAGTGATAGATAGCTGAATGGTTTCAGGCTTTTTAACCAAAAATCATAGAATCGTTTAGGTTGGAAAAGACCTTTAAGATCATCGAGTCCAGCCATTAACCTAGCACTGCCAAGTCCGCCACTGAACCATGTCCCTAAGCACCACATCTACACATCTTTTAAATACCTCCAGGGATGATGACTCAACCACTTCTCTGGGCAGCCTGTTCCAATGTTTGATAACCCTTTCAGTGAAGAAATTTTAGTATCCAATCTAATCCAATTTTCCTAGTATCTAGTCCTTGCTTAGGGAGCGATTATTGAACTGTATTATTATTAGATGAAACAGATTTTGGGAATGTATACTGGTTTTGGCTGGGATAGAGTTAATTTTCTTCATAGTAGCTAGTGTGGGGCTATTATTTTGGATTTGCGCTGAAAACAGTGTTGATAACACAGGGATGTTTTAGTTACTGCTGAGCAGTGCTTATACAGAGTCAAGGCCTTTATTGGTTCTCTCACACTCCCACCAGCGAGTAGGTTGGAGGTGCACAGGAAGTTGGGAGGCGACACAGCCGGGACAGCTGACCCCAGCTGACCAAAGGGATATCCTATACCATATGACGTCCTGCTCAGCAATAAAACTGGGGTGGAGGTTGGTGGTGGTGGGGTGTCCGCTGCGTGGAGACTTGCTGGGCATTGGTCAGTTGGTGGTGAGCAATTGTTTTCATTTGCATCACTTGTCTTTCTTGGGTTTTATTTTCCTCTCTCTTTATTATTTTTTCCCCTCTTTTCCTTAGAATTTAAAAAAATATTATTATTTCTTTTTAATTATTAAAATTTTAATCTCAACCCACAAGTTTCTTTCTCACTTTTACCCTTCCAATTCTTCCCTCATCCCACTGCAGGAGGGGCAGTGAGTGAGCGGCTGTGTGGTGCTTAGTTGCTGGCTGGAGTTAAACCATGATAGAATGTTTATTTTAAAAAGTACTAGGGCAGGTTGAATATTACAAAGTTAATGAAATAGTGCATTATATCAGGATTCTACAGTTAGAAATAGGTTTTCCAGCTTTTAAAAGGGGAAAATTCTTGTGCATGGCACTCCACTGAAGGGCTTTTGAAATGAAGCTTGTATGATTTCACTAGTTCTGCTGCCTGAGAACTCATTCTGCTGCCTGAGAACTCTTGGAAAGCAGAAAATTCGAGCTAGATGTAGAGAAGCATATCCTTTCTGCATTAAGAAGAGCTGCTAATAGCTGAACAGGAGGTGACACGAAGAAAACAGTGGTTTCATTTTCAGCTGCCTGAAAACTTTGAGAAGTAACAAGGTTCAAAGGAAGCTTTACTCCAGCATCTCCAGGACTTCAGTGGGTAGTACACGAACCTAGTGTGGAAACAGTGCTTTGTAAAACGCTCTGTAGAAAATGCTTTACGGTGGTAAAGTTGGTCATAATCTGAACAGTGAATGCAATCTTCCCATTTCATGAAGGAAAGTGGGAAACAGCTGTTTTTAAAAATGTTTTATTTGCCCTTAGGAAAATAAGGGGGTTTTAGGGAACAAGCTATAACATTAGAAATCATGCTCTCTAGTCTTGTACCATGGTTTTTGAGGTTCTGTGTGTTTTACTGTTGGCAAGGAATATGTCTGAGAGAAAAAAACTTTTTGAACCAGAACTGAAGGATTTGGTAGTAGACCTTTAGGCGTTATGCTTTGTGCAGCACGGTAATTTTTACATGGCAAGTTCTTCTCATCAAGCACCTATAAGTCTCCAAAAGTCATCTCTGTGTAGTGGTTGTGTGTGATGTGGTGGTTAAAAGCTTTTACTACTTTTATGGCTACAGAAATTATGTAAGCATGTATAAAATGTTTGTTACATTCTTAAAAGCAATTGAACACATATGGTTTGCCTGCATCTCTATTTCACATTTGCATGTGTATGTTACTTTCAGCATATAATGATTGACATGGTTTCATTGTACTTTCTCTGTATGAAACTTAGTGCCTTAAAACTTAAACTACTGTCAGTAGAAGTGACTGCTCTACCTGGGACTTGCCAGCCCCTTCAGGCCTTTTTTCTGTATGTTTCTGTGATCTGAAATAGTCTTTGCAAACTACTGCATTAGGAACCTCTTTGCATGTCTTCTAGGAGATACTTTTATTTAGAGCTTATGTGATTTAATTTTGCTACTAGGTCTGATGGCTGAGAACTAGAGCTGAAAGATGAATTTGCATCAGCAGTTTTGCTATTGGAAGATTCAGGGTTTTTTTAAATTTCTGTTGAAAATTAAATATTTTATGGAGCTGTGTCATCTTGATAGTGTAAAAGAAAAAATCTAGATGAAGAATTTTGATTTCATATTTCATCTTGTCAGAATCTTTCATTTCAAACTTACACCATTTTGAATCAGTTCATTTACATAAAATATTTGGCTAGTTAGTGTACTGTTTAGCATTCTCATACACTGTTTTACCTTACTGAAACAGAATATTTTGATGACCTGAATTTTTTAAAATCCTTTTTTTTATGGAAAAGGTCAAAATATTGGCTTTTTGTATCACTCTGGAGTAAAAACAAATTTCAGTGTTGGTACTTCTGATGGCACAGCAATCTCTCTTCCCAACAGTTCTTGTGGGAACATGATAAAAGTGCACTTTTTCTTGTCAGTTTAGGTTTCCGAATTATTCAGTTGTAATGATAATGGCCTCATTTGCTAAGGAAATACCATACTTCATGGGTAGTATGTGACAGATGAACTTAATTAATGCTTGGAGATTCGGTTTGGATTGGAATCTAGAAGCCTGAATGCTTATCTGAAATGTATCCAAATGGCAGTGCTGGAACTGCTGAGAATTGAAAACAGGTCTCCAATTCTCCTGTGAGTTTTACTTACTTTTTTGTCAAGTGAGAGATGATCTGAGCTCAGTCTTTCATGATTTAATTTAACTTACGATTTAGTACTGTATGTCTTAGAGAGGTTGCTTGCTTTCTATAAATTGTAGTCTTCTCTGCCAGGCAGCTAAATCTAAATTTCATGGTTTTCTTTTTTTCTCTAAAGTGTACAAGATTTGTATATGCTATACAAAAATTTTATCCAATAATGGTGAGATGAAGTTGCATAATACCAGCTTTACTCCTGACAGGCATTGTCATTCAGTATAAATACTGTTTTATAGCACACTTCTAGTTATACCACAGGTAAAATTTATGCATCAGTTTAATTTAAATGGGCTTGGAAAGTGTATATACACAGGTTTCATGTAGAAACTTTTCCCTTTAGCTTATGCAATGTCTTTGCTTGCCCTAATACACTTGACATATTATGTGACAAGCTTCTTAACAAACTTTTTAAAGGTGCCACACTGATAAAAGAGAGGAGCAGACTGGCCATTTCGGAAACACTGTGTCCTCAGGACTCTGTATCCCACCTGGAATATAGACAGGGTGCTTCCTGGAACATGAATCAGCCTGCAGCACAGGCTCGAGAGGGACAGAAAGGCTTACTCATTTCTGAAATAGGGCAAGAACTAGATCACACCTTTGTTTTTATACTCACCATTGCCCTATTTGCTCGAATTCTGCAACAGCATATCTGGTCATCTGTTCAGTAAGCCCCATGCATGCAGACTTTTCAAATGGTGCTGTGTGGGCCCTCAGCTGGAGAGCCCTGCTGCCAAAGCTTGGTGTCCTGTTTGTGGCTTCAGCTCTACAGGCAAAATGGCACTTTGGCTGACAGTTTATTCCAGCACTGTCACCCCAGATGATCCAGCTACAACAGAAGTGGTGCAGCTTTGCAGATACAATTGTGAATAAGCCAGGCATTTTTTGTAGTCTAATGTTCCCAATCACGTATCATGCCCCTGACTAACATTGTTTGTACTCTGCACTGAAGACTTGGCATTAGCAGGACTGTAATAGCTGATGGGGTGGTGTTATGTTATTAGCCCCTGGTAACTTGTTTGCGGCAAAGTATTTGGTAGTTCTCTTGAAATCGTATGACTGCCTTTCAAACTGGCACTACCTCTTGTGTGTCCAAAGAAGGGCAATGGAGCTGGTGAAGGGTCTAGAGCACAAGTCTTACCAGGAGGGGCTGAGGGAACTGGGGTTGTTTAGTCTGGAGAAGAGGAGGCTGAGGGGAGACCTTATCACTCTCTACAGCTACCTGAAAGGAGGTTGTGGTGAGATGGGCATCGGTCTCTTCTGCCACATAACAAGTGATAGGACAAGAGGAAATGGCTTCAAGTTGCACCAGGGGAGGTTTAGATTGGATATTAGGAAAAATTTCTTCACCAAAAGGGTTGTCAAGCATTGGAACAGGCTGCCCAGGGAAGTGGTTGAGTCCTCATCTGTGGAGGTATTTAAAAGACATGTAGATGTGGTGCTTAGGGACGTGGTTTAGTGGTGGACTTGGCGGTGCTAGGTTAATGGTTGGACTTGATGATCTGAAAGGTCTTTTCTCACCTAAATGATTCTATGTATTAATATATGGCTTCTGTAGTTTTACATATGTGATCTCCATTTCCTGCATAAATTACATATATTGGTAAAAATGTAAGTAATTTGTTAGTAGACACAATAGAAATACGAAAAATGCCTTAAACTTGCTATGGAGTGGGAAGGCATAAGAATGTGCATGTGGGCTACTACTATAGAGAAACTTAAGTCTGTTTGCCTTTGTCTAAATAATTGAGCTGCTTCCCAGCTCCGGAGACAGAAGGGCACAAGATCATAACATGGCATTAGGATGAGACTTGTGTGAATCTCATGATGTTCCTCCATGCCCAGTTACCATTGGAAGGACACCCAGAAGCGCAGGCAGAGGAGCAAGGACTGGTTCTTGTTAAACATCTCTATCCTGGGTGGCTGGAGGACCAGAACCAGGGAATAAGGTCAAGTGAGCTTACCCTGCAGCCCAGGGGGAAAAGCTGTGAGATTAATGATAGTATTTCAGAAAAAGAAATGCTGTGATGCTTTTTGTATACTACTGCACTGTAGTGGTTGAGGAACCTCAGAAACTGCCTTGAGAGTGCCATGCCTTCACACATATGCAAACACAGAGTAAGTCATATTGTGTCTACAGGCAAAGCTCAGTAAAAAGTAAATGGCTTCGTTTGCATAATCCTTGGCGTGCTCCTTACCCTCATAGCTTCCTATTTCTTTTTATTTTTCCTTGTGTTTGTTACTACTATTTCACTGTACAAGAAATACCTACAAGAGTGCTCTTGTGGTTCATTGAACACTGTTACGTTTCACGGAAGATGACAGTCACAAAAAAACATAATGAATTTAGTGTATACTTTCTTTTTCAGCATTCCTGAGTAGGGCTATAAGGCACAGTTGCCTGATATTTCTCTTATAATTTTGTCATCTCTAGGAGTATCAAAGACAGGTAAAAAGTTGCAATCTCTGACAGTATATTTGATCTTAAGTGTTTGCTGTTATTTAAAAAGTGAAAGTAGAATATGTATGTTATCATCAATAGAGATACAATGTATAAAGGCTGCTATATTAGAATAGAATCATCAAAATACCTGTTTCCTTGAAACTGCTGTGGGATTTTTTCCATTCTAGGTAAACACTTTTCTGACACAGTTTATGTTGCTATTCCTGGCTCTACTGGTATAGACAAGGTGCTGACCGCTGGTCTGTTTATCATGGTGTCACACAGTCATTCCCCTGTCGCTGTTGCTGGTGGAGTTGCATTGAGAGTAACAATAGCTGGAAATGTTAAGGGGAAAAATACTGCAGCAGATGCAGCTCGTTAGTGCTGACATCTCAGCCACTTTGCTATGCACCCTTTTCCAAAATTTGTTAGATGGTGGTGATTTAGATACTGCATCTGTTTTGCCATTGTTAAAACGTTTATTCTGGAATCAGACTAAATAATGCAGGAAAACATTGGAGTGTGTTCTGATCATGAAATGTAACCTACTGTAGTGTAATTATGAAGACCGAATTCAGGAGGCTTGGAAGCAAAATAATGAAAGAAGACTGGGTTTTTTGTATTGGGATTAGTAAGTTTGTATTCGAATTAATGTGAGCTTTACTATGAACTTTAAAAATTCTTTCCTGTTTTTGAGGTCTGCTGCTCTCTGTATTGTCATTCATAATTACAGTTCCGATGCCCATGAAACACATGGGGAGCTGTTCTTGGGTTCTAAACAGATATGTTTGTGAAGGAAAATGTATTAGAAGTAAACAGGGATGACCTGTACAGTATGGAACAGGAGTGTGATCTGGGTTTTCTCATAGCCTTGCTTAAAGCTTCTAGACCTGACTTCAACATCAGTGCAATAGTTACAGTGATCACTTGTCCTAGGATGCTTGAACCACAAAGGAAGCATTAAGATTTTCATCTTGGATTACTTATTGTTCCTGCCCATATGGGAATTATATAAATTTTTTAATCATATTGAGACAGGGAATTAAAACTAAATTGCAAAGGGGAAAGAAATTGGCAGTGCCTTTTTCCCCATCTGTCCATGTGGGTTTTTTGTTTGTTTCCTTCTGTTGTAAAAATACTCCTGAGGATTTTACATATTCTTTTCCTCATTTCTTCTTTATAAGTTAAATTGTAGTCTGAGTTTTTTGATGAATGGAGAGGTTGTGAAAATAGTGTCAAAAGAGTTATGCGAATAGAAGGTTAAGTAACTGACAAAGAATTAACTTGAGTCACAGGGCGAAAAATAAGCACTGTGTAACAGCAGCAACTATTCCACATTAGGAGTTATAAAAGCTTTTCACAAAGAATCACAGAATGGTTGAGGTTGGCAGGAACCTCTGGAAGTCATCTGGTCCCACGAACCCCCTGCTCACGCAGGGCCACCTAGAGCTGGTTGTCCAGGACTGTCCAGACAGCTTTTGAATGTCTCCAAGGAGGGGGACTCCACCGCCTTTGTGGGCAACCTGTGCTAGTGCTCGGTCACCCTCACAGTGAAAAAGTGTTTCCTGATGTTCAGAGAGAACCTCCTGTGTTTCAGTTTGTGCCTGTTGCCTCTGATCCTGTCACTGGGCACCACTGAAAAGAGCCTGCTTCCATCTCTTTTGCACTCTTCCTTCAGGTATTTATACACATTGATGAGATTTCACGCAGAGCAGTCCCAGCTCCCTCAGCCTTTCCTCATAGGAGAGGTGCTCCAGTCCCTTGATCATCTTCATGGCTCTTTGTTAGACTCTCACTACTTAACTCCTTCTTGTTTAAAGGTGTGATACCGACTCTTCAATTCAGCTGTCAAAGTTCATGTTATGCCTGCATTGTGTTCTCCTGGCACTCCAGGCTGAAGGGCAAGTTCTTCCGAGAGAAGGTCAAATAAAAATTGAGTTGTATTTGGAAGCAGCAGACCCATAGATCCAAGTTTATGGGTGGGCTGCAGAAGATGTTTTCCAGTTAGTGTTACTGTATTCAGAGATTATGGAGGATAGTATATGATCTTTGTCTCCCACGTTTTTATTTGGAAGGAGAAATGCTTTTAACAAGTGCCCAGAAGGAGCAAGAACTGTAATCCTCAGAAAGTCCTTCTGACAGAGCTCTTAAAATTCAAGAACTAAAAATAATGCAATAAAAGCTGCCATCTGACAGATGGTTTCACAGTGGTTTTGGATAATCTTTCATCCCAGGTCTGTTGAGTTGGGCCTGACATAGAGCTGCTGGCTGAAGGATGATTTTGAATTGTTGCAGGCTGTTTTAGTAGTGTGGATCCCTTTTAATATTCATCAAAGTTCTGTTGCTAAAGTGCTTGCAGCCTTTGGAGGCCTGCCCTTCAGGTTTTGTTAAAACTGTGAGGTCCAGGTACAGTTTCACACAAATGGTAGGAGTGCTTAGGTAATTCTGAGAGAGTCTGTGCACAGTGGGATGGATTGAAAGACTTAATAGTTGTTCCTTGTGTCTAATTTAAACATTGTGGATTATATCCTGCTGATATATCATATTTGTATCTCATACAGCAATGACCTGGAATATTTAGCTTCTTGAGATGTAGTTGTTCAGTATTACATCCTTTTGAATTTTCAGCGACTTAACTGTTTGAGGAGTGTCTTTTTTAGGCATGCTAATAAAGTTTGTTTCCTTTTTTGCACTAGGAAAAATTCTCACCTTTACCATACTCTGTAGAATAGTTATGACAATTCGGGCTACTAAAACAAGATTTGCTTTTTGTATTTGAGCTTGTAAACAGTTCTATTTCTAAACAAGAACACAACGTATCAATACATCAGTGCTCGCTGTCACTCTGCTCTGTACAGATACAGGAGTTGATAAAATGTCTTTTATTTACCCTGTCCCAAATAATGCAATGCATTGCTGTTATTCAGAAAAATAATTTGGAAAAAGGTGATTGTACAAAGACTGTTCTAGCAGATAAATAAGCAGGTAAGCACTACAATAATGTTTAATGACTCCTTTTCATTTTTTTGTAGAGTTTGGGACAAAGTTATTAGTGGGTCCTGCAAGATTCTTGTTTTTGTTGCTGTGGAGATATTATTAACCTTTAAAATGAAGATAATAGCACTGAATACTGCAGAAAAGATCATGCAGTTTTTGGAAAATGTAAGTACTCTGTTGTGCTTTGCATTACCTTTTATGGTTTATAAAAATGTGTTTCAGCCTTAAAGTAATTTGCCTGTTGCAAACATACTGTAAGATACTATTACATTACTTGCTGAAAATAGTCTAGTAGTACCAAGGTGAAGAGAGAATGTGCAGGGATGAGAATAATAGGTTTTTCTATCAGGAGATAAGGCTGTCATAGAATGAAATTTTTTTTAGGCTTTGAGGAAGGTGTTATCTATGTTTGTACAGATTTGACAATGTTCCTTGTGATACTAAAGGGTTTTTGTGTGAAAGTAAGTGCAGATGAGGTTAGGTTAATTTTTCTGGAAGCTCCTTACAGGGTTGGTTTCTGGCACCTTTTTTGTTCCTTGCCTGAGTGTGAATCTGTGGACTCAAGGTATGTTTTCTGCTGATGTAAGGATGGGGTCATGAACCTGACCCTGCACTTTCCTTCTGTGAATAGTAACGAGCATCACAGCAGGGTTGTAGGATCTAAGTGTAACCTAGGTTAGTTAGATTAGGTATGTTTGTGGTCATGGATGGCCAGTATGAGTTCTGCCTGATGTCAGGTTAGGCGTATGTAAAGCATGAGGTGCCTGGGTGGTCATCTTACTGTTTTGTAAATAAAAGCTTTTTGTCTAAAACCTGGAGGTAATATGGTGCATGTAGGACTTGAGGGATGGTGGGGGCAGGGAGATGGGATTCTAGTTTACTTTTCTTTTTTTATAAAGAGCTAAAATCTGAACTGGAAATTTTAAATCTTTGTTTTAAATGGAACAGTCCAAATAAAGTACTCTGACAAGGCATATTGCCTGATCTTTTGTAGATTCCTCAAGATAACACTGACGCTATTGTCAGCAAAGCTGTTGATCTGTGGCGCACGCACTGTGGGACTCCAGCACACTCAGTCTGAGAAGCTTCTTCACTTATGACAGCTTGGGGAAAAAAAAGAGACATTTGAAAAGACATTTTACCACTCTTCCCCCATCCTATTGCGATGTTCTTCGTTACCTCTTCTATGTAAAGATGCTATTAAAGCAGCTAATAGCATAGTGATCAATACGTAAATATTTTTCAATAAATACAGATGGAATGAAGATACCTAGTGGCGGTGTGATCATGTCCAGAGTGTTTCTTGGCCAGCCATGTACAGTATCCTGATTGCACAGTGTGCAATCTCTGGCTTTTGGGGAAGCAAATCTAACTCTTGAAGCAAGGTAAATAGACTTACTTGTAATTTAAAAATGTTATTGTATGCCAGCTTATACTTGATATAACTAGTTACTACTTGGAGGTGTTTTTAAGGTGAATTTACTGAATGCTAGTCTGCTGGAACTCTTTGGTGAACAAGCATGCCTTTGCTACAAATGTAAATGTACTGTATTAATACTGTAAATTTTCAGGTGAATGTTCTGGAAGAGGTATCGCAAGTTTGAGGTAGAGGACATCACAATGACCAGGGGTGACATGCTTTTCTGGAGTGTCTTAAAATACTTTCTTTTTATCTGTCAGCCAGCTCTCTATGGCTGTACCTCCTTCTTTGTTCTTCATGGAAGATGCTCTAGAAAGGTGGATCTCCTGTCCTAAAGATCTGTCCTATCCTAAAATACAACTTTGGGCAGGTATGGAGAAAATCAGTGGGACAAGTCAATATAATTCAGAATTACAGGCCAGTAATCAACAAGGCCTGTGTTGAATGCTTGGCTCAAAGTTGTTATAGTTTGATTCTTGTTTGGTTTAGCTTTCAAAACAAATTTAATACAGAAATGTAATTCATGATCTAAGTGAAAGTAGAGTGATTAGCCATAGATAGAGATTTGCTGGATAACTAATCTTTTTCTTCAAAAGTGTAAAATTATTTTTCTACATCTTGCATTGACCAGGGAATTGCATATAAAAATGTGTTGCTTAGCTGTTACTTGACTCAAATTAATGCTTAGTATGCCAAGTAGGCTCGTTGCACTTGAAAGAGTGTGTTTAGCTTGGACTCAGCATAGTGCAGGCTTGAAATGCTTTAGAAGCTTAACTTTTCTTTTTAAACTAGGTGAGGTTTACCTTCCAACACATTAACTGGGGAAGCATGGAGCTCAGTTCAGGTTACACTTAAAAACCTTGATATATTATCTATGCTGGATTCTGAGATGCTGCTGTTAGTGTTCCTGAAATGCCCGAGTTTACACAGTTCAGAAAAAGCTTGTTTGTGTCTCTGTTGAAAGCCATTGCTGTGTCTGCATTGTAGTGTAATCCAGTTCACTTCAGATAGGAGCTTGTTTTTCTAGTGTAGGCATGAGAGCTGGGTAATGGGGATAGGAAAGAGCATACACATTCTGTGAATAACAGCACTGCATTCTGTAATATGCAATGCACAATTTTTTCAAATAATGGCCGCGGCTATGGTCTGAGAGATTACCCATGTGAATATTTTTCCCTCAGGTTGCACAGCTTATTCACAAAACTCCTGAAGTTACATATGCATTATTCAGGCCTTTACACTGCAGATTACTTAGTCATTAAAAAAACAAGCACTGATGACACTGAAGGTGTTTAGCATTTCAGCCCTGAAAGGGAATCAATAACTCATATTCTGAGAAGAGAGATGCACTGAATCAGGATTAGAAGTGCCAGTTAGTGTTATTGCTTCCAGACTTGCCAGTGAGTGTTCCTCCAATCGCTATTTGACTGAAGGCTCCAAATGTTTTTTTGGTTTAGTTTTTAATTTAAAAAAGCCTTTCTCTATCAGTAGGCAGGCCCCAGAGCTGCACAGATGAGAGAGAACCACTTTCACAGAATCACGGAAGGGTTGGGGTTGGCAGGGACCTCTGCAGGTCATCTGGTCCCACCAACCCCCTGCTCAAGCAGGGCCGCCTAGAGCCGGTTGCCCAGGACTGTCCAGATGGCTTTTGAATGTCTCCAAGGAGGGAGACTCCACTGCCTCTCTGGGCAACCTGTGCCAGTGCACCCTCACAGTGAAAACCTTCATGTTTCCACATGAGCAACAGTAATTTTACTTAAACGTTTCAGTGTATGTGGGATGGATCCTCAAATGCTGCTCCACTTTAATGTCGGCTGAAGTTCACGTGCAGCTTTTTCAGTTTCACGTGCAAAGAAAGAACAGGAGTGTTTCTTTAATGGAGTGCATTATTTATTCTGGGCTGTGCTGAAGGAGGGGAGTTCTCTAGAGAACAGATAGTGGTTTAACTCCATGTTTCTTTCACTGGTCTGGTAAGAGACATTTGTGTGTATCTTAATGGATCCATTTCCAAGCTTTCACGGTGGATTTGTGAGGGATACAGTTTATGCAGAAAACTTACTGAATTCCCAAAAGACTACAAGTGCGAATCTGGCTAACTTATGCTCAGTTAATTTTTGGTGATGTCTGCTCAGTTGAACATAATGCTAAAGCTCAGAGACCTGCTTCCCAAGAGAGCAGGAGAACAGCAAAATGTGAGCTTTCACTGTCCCCGGCATGTGATGATCAGGGTGAGGTAGAGGCAAGATACCTTTAAAGTCCCAACCTAGAGCAGAGTCCACCATTTGGGAAGCCTTGGTCTGTGCTTCCAGTGATTGTAATCAGCCTGGAGTTTGGCATATGTGGCTAACAGTTGCTCTTTGACCTCTTGAACTAAGACACTGCAATACTGGTAGTGGTCCAGCTAGGCACTGCTAGTGGGCAGTCCAAGTTTGGTCATTTATCTACTGTCGACTACTAGTTCCTTACACAGATTGTTTTGGAGTTGCACATAGTTGAGCCTCCTACGGAAATCCCTGGCTAAGTAATGCGGGGAAGGGCTTACCTTTGCTATTTGTTTTGTTACCTCTATGTCATTGCAGGAGGAGTGTGGTAACAAGTCATCTGATGGTCGTTTTTTCCTGAAAAGCTTGAAAATGAGATATTGTGTCTTTATTTACATTATTTCTCCTTGACTGGCAGAGTATGTAACTGCTTGCTGCATGCTTGTTTGTTCATATTCAACTATCTGCTGCATTTGTGTGGTTGTGGGTTTTGCTCTCCCCGCCCCACCCCTTCCTTGTTTTCCTTTTGTTTTTCATGGAGACAATAGAAACAACACTGAAGCATTCACTTTGGAGAGTGAAAGCCTCCCCCTGCCAAATATCTTCATGGGCTTTACAAACAAGAAAAATAAGCTAAATTTGGTCCAGTTCTCCCCTCAAGCAGTACTTTCTCTCTAGAGAGGTTTACAGCAACACCACACGTCTGTGCTCTCCCATGTTGCATGTACCAGTTCCTTTCCAGCTGATGTCCAAATGTGATGCAGACTCCGGATAAGAAAAGTAATGGCAGGTGTCAGAGGATGATGCTTGAAAAATGATGAGTGATTTGAGCTCTAGTAAGGGGCTGGAGAGTATGAAAAGAAAAGCAGGAGAGTATGGAGACAAAAGTGGCTGAAATACAGTAATTTAGAGGCTGATAAAGTAACTGGTACAGAGCAGGTTTCTGTGGATAGAGATGAACTTTCATCGCCCTATGGGACACGTGGGACAACTTCAGCTGAAGGTGTCTTTCTGAACACCAGAGCTCCTAACCACACGGCACAATTTACTGAAAAGCCAATCTTTCATTCATTCTGCCACTCAGGGAAGAATTTTGTAGGCAATTTTGTACAATTTGTAGGCAGCGCTTGACAGCATGGGCACAGGGTGGTGTTGCACCATCTGCATCTGGCCCTCACAGCTGCTTCATGGGTGCTGGTGATGTCTGTACACACACCCAAAGCTGTCGGCTGACGCTGCTGAGGAGTGGGGCGGCCGCTGTGTCCCACGCAGACCAGCTGGACTGTGTGACCAGGGCACGGCCGCACTGTTGTTTCAGGCTTAGTTGCCTGGAAGCCTTGTTCCAAGGTGCAAGAGGGAGGAAGTGGGGGTGAGGAAGATGATGGCAGAGAAATCTCACCCCATACCTGTGCTGAGGGCGCTGAGCTCTTAGCCAGGCACTGCCAAGCAGCAGAGCGTGTTTGTGCATGCATGGCTGTGTGTGCATGCGCGTGCGTGCATGCACACTGCTCAGTGGGTGCTCTGCTGGGCTCGTGTCTGGCAGCATGGGGCTTCCAAAGGCTCTGTGGGGCTTGCTTCGTGGTCTCAGCATTTTTCCCTCTTCTTAACCGCCCCGCCCCCCCCCCAAAAAAAAAAAATCTAGATGCCTAGGGCCATTATTTTGGGCTGAAGACCAGCTCTTGGGCATGTGTGCACGTGGACATGTGTATGGATCTAGCTTTTATATTCTAAACTGGTTGCTAAACAGGTATGTCTGTCTCCTACCTCTCTGGGTTGATGTATCCATGTATGTAAAACTTGGACACTCATCAAGTAGATGTTGAAATATAAATTGTTGTATCTTATGCCCCATTAACAGGGAATGTTTCA